ATTTAGCAATCCCACTCCCAGGTACTTACTCAAGAGACATAAAAATTAAGTCTACACAAAACTATATGAATATTTATAGTAGTTTTATTCATAGTCTCCAAAATTGTAAATAACCTAAATAATCATCAACTGGTGAAGGGATAAACACACCGCGGTTTGTCCATAGCATGAAATATTGGACAACAGTAAAAAGAACAAACTAGCGATTTACGCTACAACGTGGATGAATCTCAAAAGCATTACGTCAGTTGAAAAACGCAAGATACAAAAGACTTCACACTTTATTATTCCATTTACACGATGTTTAGGAAAGGCAAAGCGATTGGAACAGACATCAGTGCAGTGGTTGCCTGGGGTTGAGAAGAGGAAAAGAAAGTGATTATGAAAGGGGCACAAGAGAACTTTATGGGGTGATGGGAATAGTCTATATTTGATTCTGTTGATGGTTACATAACTATAACTCATAAAATATGTGCCTAAAAGAATGAGTTTATTGTATATAAATTAGACTTCAATAAGCCAGATGTTAAAAAAATACAAAAAAAAAAAACTATGTGAAACTAAGCATCAGGTTAAGGCACTGTTGGACATGTCATCTCTTCTCTTTCTTCTATTCCTTGAAATTCAGATGGGAATAAACTGCAAGTTTTATGAGATAACTTCAATATTTCTTTTTGATAGAATTGTTGAATAAAGCTCTTAGTCAAAATACTCTCTTTCTAAGAGAAAGGAATTTAAAGCAAAGTATTTGAGATGAGAAATCTGCCTGTGCTAGTCAAAGTAGATGAAGGACAGACTACCCAGCAAATAAACTCGTTTCGTAATTCTAAAATTCTGGGTGCTGTGGCACATAGGGAAATCTATGGCTTCCATTTAAACTTTTTGGAGGACAGTTGAGTTCGTTTGTGGAATACCAGCAGACCTAGAGGTGTAGCTTTGTGCATTTCAGGTAAATGTTAAAAGTCTGAGCTGTTGACGAACTGATCCACCCACAAAACGGGAGATAAGGGCTTTCCAGTAGCAAAGATGAACTTGAACTTAGCTTTTCTAGTGGGTTAGTTTCTGTATGTGGTCCATAGCTTCCTTACATGAAAATAGTTTAGCTATAACAAAAATGCAGCAGCATCTATTATTTTTATCTTCATAAAAAATACATACACCTCTCACAAGAATACCTAAAGTTCTTGAAGTAAACACTAATCAATATTAGAAATTTTGCTTTCTTTATTTGTCAGCGTCCAGATGTCTCTGAAATTGCATCTGTTTGGTTCATTCTGCCAAGTTTTCATCAGCTTTGCAGTCATTGCTTTAAAAAAGAGTAAGGGCAAGAAGCAGAATAAAGAATAACTTGCAATTTTTTTTAAAGTGATGATTGCAAGTATCCATCAAATGGGACCCCATGATTCAGTTCTTTCTTCTGAAATATACCTGTTGGGGTCATCAGAAGAGACTCATTAAAAACATTTCTGGCTGATGTTAGGAAATTTTAATTTCACATTTTCTTAATCATGGACAGACTCTTAATAATAAATACTATTTACTAATTTCTTGCCAGGTGCTTTTTATGCATTACCTATTTATTCTTCACAACAACTCTGCATGGTACATCTTTTTATGCCTATTTTATAGATGAGGAAAGAAGACTTCGAAGGGGTTATGCAACTCGAATATGGTCACAGAGTTAATAAATGCAGTGAAGATTGAACTCAGGTCTGCCTGATTCCACAGCCCATGATTTCTTTAATCTCTCCCTCTTACTGACTATGTTGCCCTTGGACACTGTGGTGACACTTCCTGCTCCATTGGCTTTGATGAATGCTAGCATAGCATTCTGAGCCCTAATCACCTTATGCTTAGAACTCTGCAATAACATCGTACTTTATTTTCCTTCAAGTGTCTCCCCACTCCAACCAATTCTACAAACTTGTGTCTACCTCTGTGCTAATAATCCTAAAACATCCACTCCCTCATCCCATTTTTGAACTCAAAACCTACAATGACTCTCTCATTGCCTTATGTCCTGTCTCTTCTGCTTAGTTTTAAAGCCTATGAAGTTTGCTTGCATTCTATTCATCCTTGTATCTCACAGCTTCCTCAAAGCACCTCTTGTTCTGGTCAGGTTAATCTTTCTCTCCCCAGCAACCCTCAGTCTTGTGCTTTGATTCTTGTTCTTCACTCTTTGCCCTCTGTCTTGCATTCTTTCTTCTTCTTCTTTTTTTTTTCTCTTCAAATCCATCCATCTCTCAAGGTCCATTTCCAGTCTTACCACTTCCAGTAAGTTTACCTTCTCCCACTTATACTGACCTGTTCTCTATGAACTCCAAATGCATTTAGTGTTTGCTTTGGGAATGAACAGCTAGTTGTTTCAAAAGCTTTTAATGGTGTTAAATTAGGAAAAAATGCCAAATTATTTCTAAGAGTTGCCACAAAAAATTACTATTGCAGATTTATTTTCTAACCTATAAATTTTTTTGTATGTGCATGAAAAATTTAATATCCAAGTGAATTATAAATGATGATTTGTGTTATCAGTCATTGGTACTGGGCAGCTATTATATTTTCTTTACTGTTTTTTTATAATCAATTTTTGTTTGGTAAACCACTTAGATGCTGCACTTAAGAAAACAATGCACAGAGTAACTAGCATTTTGTAGAATACAACTGACACAGAAATAAGCATGAGTTCATGGTCTTTTGTTTCTATATCACTGTTTTTATATTCCTTAAACTATTTCTCAATGATTGTAGGTTATTCTAACAGAACTGGTACACTTAAAATCATTTGGAACTTTCTAAACCAAAAACCAAACCCATTGCTGTGGAGTTGATTTCTACTCCTAGAGACCCTATAGGACAGTAAAACTGCCCCACGGGGTTTCCAAGGCTGTAATCTTTACAGAAGCAGACTGCCACGTCTTTCTCCCATGAAGTGGCTGGTGGGTACCAACTGCCAACCATTTGGTTAGCAGCCAAGTGCTTAATCATTGTGCTACCAGGGCTCCTTCTTTGGAACTTTAGGGAAAGTATTTTACTTTAATTATAAATCCAAAGTTCAAGTCATTTCATTCATACTGATAATTTCTAAGAGGTAGTTAACTTATTAGAAAAATATCATTGCATTATGGTGTTTTTGCTATGACACTCCTCTCTCCTGCCTCCTCTTGTCCTGACTTTGTATTCCTAGAATTTTCCTAGTACGTAAGAACACTATGGATATGGTCCATGGTTGGCTCCAGGGTTCTTTCTTGAATAAGGGTAATGCTGGCATTAGATCTGAAGAATGTATACCCACCAGGCTCTAGTAATAAAAAGTTTATTAACTCTTTCACTACCCATGGTACATGTAGTGACCACTTACTTTTTCAGCCTCTGAGTTTAGTGGGAAACTGCTTTCCCATTGATAGTGTGTGCTGCCATAAGGCAGGGACCTTTATGACTGTTTGAAACTGAAGAAACGGGCATGTGCCACAATTTACTGTTTTCTACAGAGTATTGTATGAGGTAATGATGAATTATTTATTTTTTTTGGTAAAATACGGATTTTGAAATTTTTTGAAGTCTTACACATATGTACCTCTGGACTCTGGGAGTAGAATTAGAGATACACATATGTACCACTGTATTCTGAGGGTAGGATTGTGAGAAGGGGCAAGAAAAAAAAATCCATGCTGCCTACCAAAAATTCAGACATACTCAATGATTCAGCATGCTTCCATTAATTAAAACACATGATATCAAAAAAATTCAAAGCAGAAAATAATTGGATATTGAAAAAGTTATAGTCCAAAAGGAAGATGTGCCAACACATCTACATTTTAAGATCATTAAACATCTCCAGTTATTTTACAAACAACTTGATTTCAGTAAAATCCCAAATACTTTCTCTCCCAAGCATTAACAAACTCATTTGCCGGTGGAGTCTATTCCAGTGCATAGTGACCCTTTAGGACAGAGTAGAACTGCCCCATAGATTTCCAAGACTGTAATCTTTACCGAAGCAGACTGCTACATCTTTCTCCTGTCGAGTAGCTGTTGGGTTGGGACAGCCAACCTTTTGGTTAGCAGCTGAGCACTTTAACCACTGCACCACCAGGGCTTCTTCCCAGCATTATCCTTCTTTAATTATTTTTAAATGACGTCAACAAAATTTCAACCATACGTACTTGCTTCCAGTATGTTTATTGAGTCAATTATCGTTTATAACAATTGATATAATATTGTTCCCCTTCAAGAGCAGGGCCCCAGATATTATTTTAAAATATTTTTTCCTTGTTAGATAGGAAGCCATTTTTTGGGGGCGGCAATCTTGCTCATAACCAAAGGTTTGCGTTACAGTCAAAACTAGCACTTCTGAATCAGCTTTGAATTTCTTCATCATTCCTCTATGTCACTTCCATCTGGAGATGCATGAAGTATGTAACTAGAAACATTTTGAGAGAAGGAATGGCCTTATGTAACCCACCCCTGACTATTTTACTCTCCCACTCAACAACTATAAGGTCGTTTGTAACTGAAGTAAAAATTTCTCCTGATACACTCCTTACCGTTAAATAGTTTGCCCTCTATGTTTAAGTTTCCTGAAAATCCCTATGTATAGTTAGGCAAATATATAGAATGCCCTAGAAAAACATAAATGAAAGATAAAAAATTAAAGTTGTCACTCTAGAGGGAGAACTATAAAATATTCTTATATTTAAATGTTTATACCATATCTATTATATAGTTATTGTGTGAAATACAAAAAGGAGAGGTTTTAACTGTGAAGTACATTTACATTAAAAATGATAAATTTATTTTATTTTAATGCATTAAAGGGGGAAAAGTTAAATGATTCGTGTACATGCTAGATAAGGTTTAGTTATCCACTTAAATTATTCTAGGTGATTAAAATCATCTTTTCTCTTTCATTTTCTAAGTAAATTATTGAAAATGCATTTTTCTTTTGACAACTATGCTAATATAATGAAGGGCCTGAAGTTATACATGTTTTGCATTTCAAGGTTGTGGAACTTCTCAAACTTGGTCAAAACATGTTCTTTAAGTTCCAAACTATTCCCAGAAGCAAACTGACTGCTGACCAGTAGCCTGTAGAGGAACCTGATGCTTAAAACTTTTCCAGGGAATGGACTCCCAAACCACTTTGCCATGGATGAAAGAGCTGTCCAGTGACCCAATATGATGAGAAATTAGAGAATATCTACTGGTGCTAAATATGATGGTGGGTCAAGAAAGGTATGTCTGATTTCTAAATCACAGTTTGGTTTCTTTCTGCTCTGAGGAAGAGCTTTGCATAAAGATTTTTGTTGGGCCCTGGAATGCAAATTTGCAAAAATGTTCTAAATACTTATTTACACACAGACTATAATAGCCCTGGTGGAATCATTATAACCTATGAGGTAGATGTTGTTCTTGTTGGTGTTGCCTTCGAGTCCATTTCCACTCATAGATAGCAACCCCAAGTGTGCAGAGTAGAATTTAGTGCCACTTAAAATATCTAACTTGTATTTTAATGGCAGGTTCTAATAAAAAAATATAGTCAGCTGGATCAGTAATAGGTGTTTCAAAGTTTTGGATAAATACCTGCATAATCTGCATTTCAAAAAGTCCATAAATGTGTATTTACACATCTTTAGAACCATTGCAGTCTATTATGTCATCTCCTTTACACGTCTATGAGGGATTTCTTCCATTAAAAAAAAAAAAACAACTGTTATAAAAGGAAATTAACAACTTTTAAATAATACTGTTATAGAAAATCTCCAAAGATGGGAAGCTCAGAGTGAAGGCTAACACTTAATTCTTCGCTTTTTCTGCTTATCCCTGTGTGTTGGAGGGATCTCAGCTCAGTATAGTACGAACCATATGTGCTGCAATAACGAGATACAATGGATCAAGTTACCAAAGGAGTGTCAGCTTGGTATCCCTCCCTCTCAAACTCCTCCTTCTCCCCTGTTTAGGGCAAACACAGCAGAAAAGCACTTTTGAAGTCTATCCCTGTTGTACTTTTTGATCCGTTACAATTTCAGTTGCCTTGGTCATAGTGTCAGATGACTTAAAATCTCTTTCTAGGAAATAAGGCTCATTCAGCTGGAGAGTTAGCATGCAATTACATTACCTGGTTAAGCATGTTCGGCTGAATTATTAATTTTCTGTCTTGTTAAGTACTGGATTCATGGCTGGAAGTGAAAATGCATGCAACGTAAAAATATGCTGGAAAACAGTTGTAAAAACCATCATTACGTCTCAGTATTGCATGACTTCTTGTGAGACGGAGTGACACGTTTCTTAAAACAGGATCAGCTGTCATTTTCATAGGTTTATTCAAATCGTTTATATTGTAAATTATGTATTCTAAAAATTTAGGTGACAGAAGGTTTAATTTATGTACTACAAACGCTGAGAGGATCAGGGGAATTGTGCCTAATATCTTGGAGAAATTATTCAATAATGTCATGAACTGTTGGTCTGAATTGGAAAAATCTCTTCTAACACTCAGTGAGTTTAGCAACTAAGAATTTATTTTATATTGAGAAATCATGGCTTCACTTTACTAGCACTTATTCTGCTTCACCTTATGGTAGCTATACTATAGAAAGTGATGAGCAATCTATGAAGATGAGTGCGTCAGAAAGGAAGCAAGAATTGTTATTTGTTATTGCTGTTTGTTTATTTCTTTGGTGTATTATTATTACAGCATATTTTGCAGTTCATTTTAGAATAACAAATATCAAAGCATTTATTAGAGACATGTAAAATAGTTAGAGTCATGATAAATTACTTTTCCCTTCTAAGAGATTTATTATTAAAGCTTGTATAATCCTACTTTTTTCCCCAGGAGTAGAGTTTCTATTTTAATGTTGTAAAAATTGAAATCTCTCTGTCTCTCTCTTTTTTTTTTTTTTAGCCTAAGCAAGGAACTGATCAAGTTTTAAAAGAGAAAACTAGTAAGAAAGAAAAAAAGAGAGCAAGCTGAATAGTTTTCTGGACACATTACATTTCTAAATAAATACTTCTGCAGTATCAAAGAACAAAGTTCCGCTCCCTGATGATGAGCAACAAAATTACTGGAAATGTTTGTTAATACGCTCTTTGTTTAAGGTCAGCAATTTTCCCCTAGGACATTAAATATATACAGCGCAGTATTATTAGAATGAAAAATGAGTTAGAAATACTCTTCTACCTCAAAGATTAAAAAAAATATAAACATACTTGAGAGGGTCATCAAATTTCAAAGATAGCCATTGGACAAATTACCGTCAGCTCTGAATTTCACTGTCCTCATAAAATAGGAACAGGAATATTTACTTTTAGGGCTATGACGAGGATTACTCTGGCACTTTGCGCCAAATAATGCTCATTGAGTATTAGGTAACATCATCATTGACATCAGCATTATCATTGTCACCATCTTCGTTTTAATCATCACAATCATCAACCTCACTCTGTGAATGTCAGGTTCAATGGTTGCTTGAGTAGTTGTTCTTTGGCTGATGAATATTTTTTAATGAGTTTTTTTTTTTTGTTGTTGTTGTTGGTTGCCATTGAGTTGATTCTAGTTTATGGACAGAATAGAACAGCTTCATAGGGTTCCTAGCTGTGAATCTTAATGGAAGCAAATCACCAGGCCTTTTCTTCTGTGGAACCGCTGGGTGGCTTCAAACCACAAACCTTTAGGTTAGCAGTTGAGTGCAAACTGTTTGTGATGCCATCTAGGCACCTATTTTTTAGTGAGCACTTATCTTCATTTGGAGCCCTGGTGGTGTAGCAGTTAAGAGCTCAGCTGTTAACCGAAAGGTCAGCAGTTTGAATCCTTGGAAACCCTATGGGGCGGTTCTACTCTGTTCTATAGGGTTGCTATGAGTTGGAATCAACTCCATGGCAGCGAGCTTTGGTTTTATCTTCATTTAGTAAGTTTCAGAAAATGTCCATTCATTCATTCATTCTACAAGTATTGATTTATCACCTTCAATATGCCGGGAGCAGGTAATATACCATGTTGAGTAAAACCGTTCATTGTACTTATGGGATTTATTGCTTATGTTTGTAAATCTGATGACCACACAGATAACTTTCATTTTATAACTGTTATAAATGCAGCAAATTTGAGTTATATGGATGTTACTATGAGATCATGTTATAGGGGAATTTGGCCTAGTCAGAGAAGTCATGGAAGTCTTTCCTGAGGAAATGTAATTGGAGTTGAGATCTGCAGAAAGAATAGATCATGGCAAGAGAGAAAGAATGTTTAGGCAGAAAGAACACCATGTGAGGTGGGAGGGAACATGGCATGTTCCAGGAACTGACAACAGGACAGGTGTACCAAAAGCGGAGAGTATGGGAGAGAGGATATAGGAGACATGCTAATGAGGTTTGTAGAGGAGAAACCCTTAAAAGCCGTGGCTATTATCTCTGAGTAGTTGGAAACTACTTAAGTCTGTTATGTGGGGGGGGGGGTGATATAATTAGATTTACTTTTTTTTTTTAAAATCATCCTGGTTCTAGTGTAGCTTTAGTGTGGATAAGACAAGAATAAAAGCACAAAGTCCAGTTATGAGACTGTTTTAATAGTACAGGTTAAGATACAATGGAGCTTAAATGAGGGTAATGGTGCTGGAGATGGATAGAAGTGGTTGAATTCAATAAATAATTAGAGCTAAATATAGGACTTTCTGAAGGATTGATTATATGGGAAAAAAGAGCTGTTAAAGATGGCTTCCAGGTTTCTAACTTGCACAACTGGATCAATATTGGTACCATCAGGGAATACTGGAAGGAAACCAAATTTAGAGAAGAGGTCTAATATGTATTCCCTTGTAAACATCTTAAGTATGAAATTCTACGAAATTTCCAAGGGAATAGATCAAGGCAGTGAGCTGAAATAAGAGATCTGGACTGAAGAGTTAAAATGGTGATTTATCTCCATAAAATGTGCATGAGCTTCAAAGAGATTTTCTAGGGAGAGAGTATATAGTGAAAAGAGAAATGCAACTTGAAGAACTCCAACACTAGTGCCCAGGGAGAGAAGCCTGCAGAGAAGAGTGGCCAGAGTAGAAGAAGGAAAATCAAGAGAGTTACAAGTTATGGAAACCAAGTGAAGTGAGCATTTCAAGGAGAGACAAATAGACGGTGACCTATGTTTTTTTTAAAGAGGTCAAGGGAGATGAGGACTAAAAATATGTCAATTAGATTTAGTATCATGTTTATCATTGGTAACCTCAGTGGAAGCTGCTTCAACCTAGTGTATGCTTGTGTATGTTGGGGAGGGGGAGGCAAAAAGACAGAGCAGGATAAGTTGATGGCTCGGGGGAGGTGTGAAAGGGAAATAACTATTTTATACAATGTCTAGAGAAGTTGAGGGCTACTTTTAATGTGCTTATGATTTTGTTTCTTTACTATTGAGATTTAAAAAAAAAAACTCAGAGTTACATTTGATTAGCTTTTTATTTTCTCTTTGAGGAGATTTTCGTAAGTGAAGTCCACTATGAAAACTTGGCAGGGCTTATTTTTTTTACATGTTATTTTATCATCTCTGTCAATAGGATTGTCACTGAACTCATCATGTGCAGACTGAACTTTTAATTTCTACCATATTAATAAACCCATTGCTGTAGAGCAATTCCGACTCATAGTGACCCTATAGGACGGAGTAGAACTGCCCCTTAGGGTTTCCAAGGCTGTAATCTTTATAGAAGCAGACTGCCACATCTTTCTCCCTCAGAGTGGCTGGTGGTTTGAATCACTGACCTTTTGATTAGCAGCGGAGCTCTTTAACCCCTGCTCTACCAGGGCTCCTTTCCATATCAATAGCCAACCCCAATTCATGATTCTTGCTAACTGCTGTCAAGTTGGCCCCCGATTCATGATGATGCCATGCACAATGGAGCAAAATGCTGCCCAGTCCTTGGCCATCCCCATGACTAGTTGTGGTTTAGACTGGTTTGGATTGATTGCATTGTTCGCTAGGCCTTTCTTCCTAGTCCTTCTTGGTCTGCAAGCTCAGCTGAAACCTGTTCAGCATCAAAACACCACGCAAGGCTCCACTGACAGACAGGTACATTGGCTGGGAATTGAACTCCAGTCTCCTACATGGAAGGCAGGGATTCTACCACTGAACCACCTCTTATGCCTCATATTTCATGATTAGATTAACTATTTTTCAGTGTAATTAACCGCTACATCTATGAGTCCATCTGGTCATTTTTATAATAGGTACATAACCTATACGTCCTCATGACTCTCAGTTCTAATATGGTAGCTGCAGGCATATGCCCAGGCTGATGATTTAGAATTGGTCAAATCAACTATTTCTACTGGGCACACATTTTTCGACACACCTAATAGAACTTTCTTACATTTTGTTGTATTTTGTTGTTGTTGTTGCATATTTTAAAAACAAATCAAATATGAGAATACCTGATGGAGAAACTTAAGAATGATGAAAGTTTCTTAAAACTTCTGTGAATGGTTATTTTTTCTAATGTGGGTTTTATGAAATTGAGTTTCTATCATTTTAGATCCACAAAACATTCCCCCTAAACTAAGAGAAAATTGATCTAAAAACAGGTCCCCGCCACCCTGACTAAATGGAAACTTGGGTTATGTAAACAATTCAGGTTCTTGTTTAAAAGTAATTCTTTGCTTGTTTCTGTGTCTACCAGGCCTACCAGAGGGAAAAAACACAGCAGCAACAACAACAGCTTATAGCAGTTCAGAACTTCTGAAGTGTCCAGAGGAAAACAAACTGCAGAGTTTAAGATTCTCTTCAGAACAGAGCCCATTTTCGCAGGGTTCTCCAGCTTCTTCCTCTCCCCAACAGTGCAGAGGTACGATGTTACAGTCTCCAGCATCCTTAAATCAGTCAGGATATCTGTAGTTAAATCAGTCAGGATATCTGTAGCTAATGCTTATGCTTTCTTTTCCACAGTCTGACTATATGAATGGGCTGTACTGTCAGTTCTAATGACTCTGGAAAAGAGAGGAAAAGCTCCTGGTTCCCTCACAAAGCATTATGTTAGATCTCACCATATGAAACAAATATCTTGATCCCTGCTTCAAGCCATGGCAGTGCATGCCTGCAAAATTCCAGCGAGAGACCAAAGTGTCCCACATATTGTGGCAAATTTCCCATAATGTTCTGGAAATTGCAACAGAGTTCGTGGGAAAAGTAGAAGGAAATGATCTTCCCGCATAGGGATAGCTCATGTGGGAAGGCTAATCCACAGGTTCCTGCAAGAATGGAGACATACATCTGGTACATTTTTGGAGCACATCACGGAATGGTTATTTTGCATCTCAAGTTTACACATTGGGGAATACTTAGAATGAATGAATTTCTAATAGATGGCTCTAGATTATGTGTTTATATATTGCACCTTTTTGCTATTAAGAAAGTTGCTTCCCAAAAGAATGAACATAGCCCCAACAATACATACATATGTTCATTTCCCCAGACTGTATGTTCTTAAAGCAGTTAGCTTGACATCACAAGTAGATGGCAAGCTAGTCCTAAATGTATCAGCTTTTAAAAGGGCGTTCCCCAAGAACTTAATTGGTGAAAGTATTAGTATAAATTAAAACTTGTGGGGGATACGATTACACTTTCTTCCTAGACAATAGGAGAATAAAACATGTTAGTGAAAAACCGAATTTTGTATTGTTCACTTCTAGTATCCTTCCATTTACTTCTACCATAAAAAAAACAAAACCAAACCCGTTGCTGTTGAGTCGATTCCGACTCATAGCGACCCTATAGGACAGAGTTGAACTGCCCTATAGAGTATCCAAGGAATGGCTGGTGGATTCGAACTGCCAACCTTTTGGTTAGCAGCCGAGCTCTTAACCACTGCACCACCAGGGTTCTACTTCTGCCATATGAAGTAGAAATTAAGTTTCAAAACTGAAGTTTTATTTCTATGTCTCTACAAGAACTTTGTCCATTTCCCAAGTAGCATGAATCTGATAAGTAACCATTTATCCTTTTTGTGCTCGTTCCTTCTGAACAAGGGCAGCTGCTCTCTCCAAACGCTTGAACGCTTTTACCCTCCCAAGCTGAGTTTGACAGAATTACCGCATTGGGGCTGAAATTCAAAATCTGATTGCCAATGTCAACTAAAACGAAGGCCTTCATGAAAAACAAAACTGGTTAAGTATACTTGAGGCTCCGCATCAGCCCCACTCATGAGTAATGAAAATATCAATTTATGATGCATTTGTCTTTTGCTGATAAATCCTATAGAATTTTTCTTCAGAAATAGATGCTTGAAGGAGAATAAATTCCAACGACAGTTATACAGATTCAAACTTCGGTTTAGGATTTAATTTCACAAACAATATTTTGGAATGTCTGTTATGTGTGAGATAGTCTAAATTAAATTAAAATAGTTTTTTGATGTTTAAGATTTCCTTAGCTCTAAGAAAGAAGGAATCTTGGTAACTTAAACTGGTTGAATTTTTTATTGATGTTTTTTCTTGTATCTGGGGATATGGATCAAGGTTTATCCTTAAAGAAGTGTTATGGATTGAATTGTGTCCCCTCGAAAAATATGTTGAATTCCTAACCCCGTACTGGTGAATGTGACCTTGTCTGGAAATAGGATTTTTCTTTTGTTATCAGTTAAGTCAAATGAGATCATACTGGAGTAGGGTGAGTCGTAATCTAATCCCTACTGAGTGGTATCTTACAAAAGGAGGGAATACACATGAAGAAAAAGTCATAAACATGGAAATGATAGATGCCATGTGATTACAGAGGCAGATGCATCTATAAGCAGCAAAGGAATACCAAGGATTTCCAGCAGCCACTAGAAGCTGGTAGAGAGGTACAGAACAGTTCCTCCATCAAAGCCCTCAGAAGGTGATATGACTGAGACCTTGATTTAGACTTTTGGCCTCTACAACTGTGGGAAAATAAATTTCTGTTCTTTAAAGACACCTGCCTTGTGGTATCTTGTTATGGCAGCTCTAGGAGATTAAGACAAAGGGGGAAAAGTTACAGTGTTTTATGTGCTTATTGTGTCCTGGATTCTGTGCTAGTAGCTTTCTACTTACGTTGCCTGTTTATTCCATGTACCAATCCTATGATGTAGGTATTCTACTTTCATTTTAAAGATGAGGTTTAAATACTTTGTACTTTGAGTGATTTGCCTAAGGTCACAGAATCAATTCATACTACTCAATTATAGTATGGGGAACACAGGAGAGCCCAGACAGAGATGTACAATACCTGGTCGGGGAGGAGATAGTCTATATATCAAGAGTTTTCGGACCTTGCCAAGTTGTATCAGAATTAGTTTGTGTAGCATATATAGGAGTAGCTTCTAAGTGTATTAAGCTAATGTGAATAAACTATAAGACTACCTTGGACAAAATTCACCTATATAATTGTGTCTATCTGGGTTTTGGAACTTAATGTGTTGGCTCATCTACCTGGGAATGATGTAAATATGGGGAATGGAAGCTGGACTAAATGGTGGCTTAGAGTCAATGAGGAAGAAATGACAGAGCTTCCCTGAAATGTTGTAGTGGAAGGAGTATAAAGCTCAGGGAGGTGGGGACATTAAGATGAATCTATCATATGCAACTTGCTCCGCTACTGCCTAAGCATACCCCCAAGAGGAAACTTCCTTCACCTAAGCATTCAGTAGTGTATTGGTAAGGATACCACCAGCATTCTTGGAAAGTCTGCAGTGGCTATCTTCTGTAGGCTGGAGAAGAGAGTAGGAGATGCTACAATCGACTGGGCCCACTGATTTCAGTGGGAATAATGGGATCACCAAGTGGTAGAGGCCATACATCAGTGCTTAACCAGTAGAGAGAAGAGGAGTGGAATTATCCTAATAAGTGACAAGGATGAAGTGATAATCAGAGTGTTTTCCCCATAGGAACTTGTGACAAAGTCGCATTGATCATAGGATCCCTAGAAATGAAATGGACGGTCAGCTTATGAAGGTATTGATTCTCACACATGGAAAAGTCTACATTTGGTGGGCAGAAATGTGACTTGAGTTGCGAAGATGAGCATTCATGGCCTCGTATTCAATTGCTAGAGCTAATTCAGTTCACAGAGTTGGAACTCCTTGCTTCAGGGGGAGACCAGTTCCCCTTGAGGAAGAACATGCAGTTCTGCCGTAAGGATATAACGTGAATCTCCATGTTTTCCTCACTTTGTGAGGTGGGAATGTTATACTACTAGATGTGATATACACCTACAAGTAGCAACCTATATGTGGTGCTGTGTTCCCCATATCCAAAATGCACGCTCACAGGAACCAAGGAGTAGAAATGGAAGTGGCCCTTATCTCTATTGCAGCAAATAAACTAATTTAAGAAATTTTTGTTAATATTCTATGAACTTGAGATCAGTGGCTTTAAAAGTCCTAATCCTCCTGAAAGGGATGGCACTGAGTTTGTGGTACGTTGCTGCAGCAACAATGGGAAGCTAATACAGTGGCGAAATGCAAAGTTACAAAAAAAAAAAATGGGTGAAGATCTTGCTTGGCTATGTAATTTTTAGAAAATTGTCCTATTAATGTCACTGTGGACTAGTATAAGGGCATGTTTATCATTTAAAACAATAAAATCTCTACCTTTTAAGACACAGTCTGGACCTTCAGTTATAATTAAGAATAGGAATCTGAGGATTGCTACATAGACACATCTCTGAAAGATGACATGTGAGCTTTCAGTGCTTTAAAAAATGTAAGAAAATGCTGGGCTAATTTATGGAGTATAGTGTTGCCTTCCAGTAGAAGAACATCTTCTTTGTTGATTTTATATAAATCCTTACTTCTTTCCAAGTACTGGAGCCCTCGTGGTGTAGTGGTTAAGAGCTTTGGCTGCTAACCAAAAGGTCAGCAGTTTGAATCCACTGGCTGCTCCTTGGAAACCTTATGAGGCAGTTCTACTCTGTCCTATAGGGTCACTATGAGTCGGAATCAACTCGCTGACAATCGGTTTGGTTTGTTTTTGATTTCCAAGTATTAGTCAAGATCGTGAATCCAAACCGATTGGGCTGATAGCAAGAGGAGGCTTGGGTCATACTTTCTAGAGATAGAGCTTTCAACAGAGTGTAAAGGTCAGGAGAAGTGTGGTGAGCCCTCTTCTCTCTCCTTTTCTCTGCCTCTAAGTGCTGGAGAGTCAGACCTAAGTTCATTCCTGGACATATTGCTCTTGTTTTCCTTCTTACTTCCACTTTGGCTGTTGCCTTTATTTTCTTTCCTTGGAAACTTTCTTCTCCTTTCACAAGGCAGATAGGCCTCAGGCTTTTGTCCTGGCCTAAGAATGCCTAGGTTGGTGGCTTAAGTCTTAGGACAAACACTCTCTACTTTCCTTCCAGAAAAGATAGCTGAGCTCTGAACCAGCCTATGTTGCCATCATTGGTAAAATTTGAGTGTTAAGTGTAGGCTTAGAAATAATTTTAGGTCACTCAGCGTGTTTTAGTTAATGCCTCTAGTTTGCTTCTAAAGAGTAGAAAAAAGTTTTCCTCTAGTCCAGCCCAGCCTACTAGAATTCTTCTTTGGCAATTGGGGCTAAAGAATCTGCTAATAACGAAGGCTAATTTGCCTTTCTTTGATGTTGTTTTTACTTCTATAAATCTTTCCATAGGGACTTTAAGGGTATGAGAAATGGCTGAGTGAAGACAAGATTTACATATTTCTGGTTTTCTATATTAATACCAGCCCTTAAAAGCTCCTCTCTTCACAAATCTCAAGATGATCTGCAAAATGAAAATTTTACTTTATCCTTATATAATGTATAACTCTGGAATACTGTGGATTTTATCTAGTTGATTGTTTTTGAGAAAGATACAATGGAACAGAAAAAAACGTGTAGAGAAAAAGCATTAATTTTGAATGTGCAAATTGAGCTGTGCATTCAGAATAGTTAATCTCCTAGCCATAGGGGTGTTTTAGTTAGGTTTACCAATTAAATATACTTCTAAGATTAAAGTAACTCCTAAACAATAGAGATATCCAATCTCTATTTACTTTATGTAAAATGATAGGATAGGATGTAAATGTATAAACACCTAGAAATATTTGATATACAGACCTAGAAGGAGCCCTGGTGGCCACATGGTTAAGCACTTGACTGCTAACCGAAAGGCCGGGGGTTCAAACTCACCAGTAGCTCCCTGGGAGAAAGATGCGGCAATCTGCTTCTGTGAAGATGGCAGCCTTGGAAACCCCTGGGGCAGTTCTACTCTGTCGTATAGGGTCACTATAAGACAGAACTGACTTGAGGGTAAAGTTTTTTTTCTTTTTTCTTTTCCAGTTTTCATACACCTAGAACATTTGATATCCTCTCCTTCACACTCAGGGTAAACTCTTTCTTAAAACTCTTCTGTTCTCAGTCTACTGGAATCAATCACAAAAATCTGTGGAGACATTTTTAAATTGTGTAAACAAAGACACCTTCTCCCCAGAGGTTCTGTTATGCTTCTTCCTTCAATTTAATAACGTCTGGGAATTTATTTCTTGAAATATCTTTCAAGGAATTCTTTCCCTACTCAAAACTCCAGGTTTTTCAAGATAAAGATTACATTAAATTTTAGCCTTTTTTATTTTGTGAAAAATAGCTGACATTTCTGCTCTGCTTGGTGGCAAAAGCTTTGTGACGAAGACTTCTATACATGGAAGAAGTCTGGCTTCCTCACAACAATATATTTCCCAAACAAAGAAGGAATTTTGTCTAAATCTTAAAGAAGTTGTTCTTCATCTCCCTCCAATCAGGTGTTTGAGATTGACATCTGTCTCTCTCCCTCCTTGTTCCCATCCGTCCATCCTTCCTTCCGTCGTTTGTTCCTTTTCCGCTCGCTTCTATGTCCTCTCTTTCTTCTCTTTTAATTTTTTCTTTTTATTCTCTGTTTTTAATATTTCTCCACAGATTTCCAAACAGTTTAATAGGCCTTTGATATGAACTGATTTTAAAGTAAAAGTGCTTTTTATAATTTTAACTTAAAAAATAATCACTTAGGGATTGCACTTCTGGGTAAAAGGGAGTAAGCACACCCTACCCTGTCTCTCCCACTGGATGCAGCTATCAAACCTGGACAGCACACATGGAACAATTATTTGAGGACTCTGACTAGAATTTGAAGTATCACTGAACCGGCAGTAGGTTTACCATTTTCCCTTTTCAGTATACCCCAGCTTAGTTGGAAGTGAGTATCTGTACTGACGGAGAGAACTTCTGGGGAAGTCCTCTAGTTCTGACTCAAAGACAGGAAAGGGATCATCTGGGAGCAACAGTGGTGGCAGTTGGGATGCACAGTGCTTTACACTTTGAGGTAGGAGAACTCCCCATGCTTTTTTCTCTCTCTGTCCTGTTACTTGGCCATGGATATAGGGATGCAGGTGCAGCCACGGGAAGTATGTGTCAGGGTGGGGTAACTAAAGCCCCAGCTTTCTGGAGGACTTACTGAAAAGGGAGCTTCAGGGAACCAGAAAGTACCAAGGAGATTATGAAGGGGTAGGAACTTGGGAGAGTGACTCCATAAAGTTATTTATGAACTCCTGGGCTCACTCTTGAGCTGCACATCATTAGATTTAATCCTCAGCAGCATACCACATACTTTGAGAGTGGAACTAGGGATAGACAAATTCCCAGGTTCTAGACTGGCCACTGGGTGGCAAACACACAAGACAGACATGGCTAGCGCTGCAAAAGCTTTGAAAAGTGAATGCACAATGAAACACATCCCCCAGAAGGCTGGTCAGAACATGGAGCCTGAACCCAACTGGGTTGATTGCCTATTAAAGCAAAATATCAATACTTTTGATAGGATTTAAACAAGACCTAGAGTTTCATAAAGAAGTAATGGTAAACACTCTTGAAACAAATTGTTAAGACCATATAAGGAAAGAAATAGAGGAGATAAAAGAAGTACCAAATAGTTATTAGAACTAAAAATATAATAATCCCTTCTACCCTAGAAAAACCAAACAAACAAGCAAAAAACTCTTACTGGATGGGCTCAGTAGTAGAATGGAGATGACAGAGGCAAGAGTCAGTGAACTTGAGGATAAAAATCTTGTTGCCGTTGAGTCGATTTTGTTTTGTTTTGCTTTTTGGATAATAGCCATCTTAGTGGGTGTGAAGTAGTATCACATTGTGGTTTTGATTTGCGTTTCCCTAATGTCTAATGATGTTGAGCATTTCTTCAAGTACTTCTTGGTCATTTACAGAATGTTTATTCCAGTCTTTTTCCTCATTTTTTAATGTGGTTGTTTGTCTTTTTGCTGTTGAGTTGTAGGAGTACTTTATATATTCTGGATATTAAACCCCTATCAGGTATATGTTTTACAAATTTTTCTTTTCATTTGATTGGCTCTCTTTTCACTTTCTTGATAATGTCCTTTGATGACACAATTTTTTTTTAATTTGCTGAAATCCCATGTATCTATTTTTTCTTTCGTTTCTCGTGTTTCCAGTGCCACACTTCAGCATCCAAAACCAAATAAAAGATCTTGAAGACATATTCTAGTTTTTTTTTCTAATAGTTTTATGGTTTTAGCTCTTATATTTAGATTGTTGATCCATTTTAAGTTAATTTTCATATATGGTGTGAGATAGTGGTCCAACTTCATTCTTCTGCACGTGGAAATTCAGTTGTCCAGTATCATTTGTTGAAGAGACTATTCCTTCTGCATTGAACGGACTTGACACCTTTGTCAAGAGCAATTTTCCATAGATGTATGAGTTTATTTCTGGACTCTCAACTCTATTCTATTGGTCTGTATGCCTACCCTTGTTTCAGTACCACAGTGTTTTGATTGTTGTAACTTTGTAGTACATTTTGAAATCAAGTAGTGGAAGTCTTCCTACTTTGTTCTTTGTTTTCAAGATTGTTTTGGCTATTTGGAGCCCTTTGCACTTCCATATGAATTTAAGGATTGATACTTCCATTTCTACAAAAAAGTTCTGTTGGAAATTTGGTAGAGATTGTGTTGAATCTGTAGATCATTTTTGGCAGTATCGACATCTTAAGTCTTTCAATCCATGAACGTGTGATGTCTTCCCATTTATTTAGGGTTCTTGTATTTTTTTCAGCAGTGTTTTATAGTTCTCAGTGTACAAGTCTTTCATCATCTTGGTTAAATTTATACCTAGGTAATTTATTTTTTTTAGATGCTACTGCCTTCATTTTCTTTTGAGAAGGACTGTTTTTCTTTGTTTGTTTGTTTTGCCTGGAAAACTTCCACTACTGGAAGTTCTGTGTACAGTTTGGGGAGAAGAGTCATTCATCAGTGCTCCCTGTCTTCTAGCCTACTACCTTCTCTCTCCTCCTTTCCAGACTCAGCCTTGCAGATTGACTCCCTTCTAGATGATAACTCCTTTTGTGCACATTCTAGGATGTGGCTCTTGTCCATATGGCTTGCATCCTATTCTATTCATTATTGCAGTTATATACACTTTATTTTGTCAAGATTTAGATGCACATATTTCCCACATTTTTTGACCTCTCTTAAATCAAAATATATCTTATAATTAATGATGTATTAGAATAGATAAATATATATATTACTTTTCAGAAAAAACGAGGTCTCAGGTGAGTAAGAATTAACTCTCATGCTCTGTCTACCACCTTCAAAGAAGTTTGTAAATTTTGGAGTTGCTAGCAAAAAGGGTCACATGTATTCCCAAGTCACTCTTTCTAGTGCCAATGTCATAAATAAACTGTAACACAACTTAGCATATTTAGTGCTTTTCATGTTTTTATTTATGAAGAAGTT